AAAAAAATAACTGTATAAAATGCTAATGATTTCTCAGACACATATATAGTCAATTAATTTTGAAATATTTCATTTTATTTACCAACACTCATAATTATAAATAACCCAATTAATTATTTAAAACTCTTATTAATTTATTTAGAAACTTGGAGTGTTACGAGCACAAACGATACCACGTGAGATGGTCACTAGACTTTCCAAACAAATAAGTAGTTAAAAAGGATAACATAATATGAAGGACTAAAAATATTATTTCAAATTTTAGACAGATGAAAAACTAAAAATAAATTACAATGACCAAAATCAAAATTTATTTATTTTACTGTGACTAAAAACATATTTAAGTTTATATATTGTTATCCCTTAGGTTATGTTTAGATAGAAAATTTTATAATTCTAGGAAATTTTAAAATTTTAGAAATTCAATTACTTTAATTGAAATTTCTACTTTTTAAAAAGTTATTGTTTGGACGAGGAAATTAAGTTCCTTAGTTTTTTTTATGTTTGGATAAGCAATTAAATTTCTTTATTTCTAAAATTTTTGATTTTGATAAAAATAATCAAATTTCTTCTTTTAAAAAATTTTGTATTTGAATAAAAAATTAAATTTCTATCATTTAAAAATTATAAATAATTTTTTCATTCATGTCATATTATTTAAATAAAATAATTATTTTATTTAATTTAACATGAAAAATAATGTTGATATTATTGCCAACTAATTCTACTAATATGAACAAGTCTCTTAATATTTGTTACAGCAACTCTTACTATCAATTTTTCAATGTTTAAAATGGCATTTTACTTATAAATGTCTTAAATTTTTTGTTCGCATAAAATAATTAAAAACTCTTGTATTTAAAATTATTATTTTTATATGGTTATACATTAAAAAGAAAAATAAATTAGATAAACAGTTGTCATAATATTTAAATAGGTTATATATTACAACATTATGATGGAGAGTCTATGTAAGAATGGCAAGGTATGTGAGTCTTTAGATTAGTTTCCAGAAATGATTGACAAAGGTATTCAATATGATATCGTCACTTACACTTTCTTAATTCACAACCTTTAATATATTGATAGATGAAAAAAGAATGTAACTCTAGTAGATAATATGGTGAGAAAGTGAATCGGGCCAAATGTTTTATATATATATATATATATAAAAGAAGGATCTAATTTACTTTAGAAGTAAGTTTACCTAAACTTATTTCGTTCAATAATTCATGTTTTACATCAAATTTTAGCGATCTAACTGTTCAATTTAAAGTTCTTAATGCATAGATCAAATATGTAAAATTTTAGAAAATTAAAAAATTATTTGATACTTCATTAATTTGAATCAATGTATAAAATAATTTTATGATTATCCGTCAATTTAAATTAATGAAATGAAGTATCAAATAATTTTTTAATTTTCTAAAATTTTACATATTTGATCTATGCATTAAGAACTTTAAATTGAATGGTTGGATCATTAAAATTTGATGTAGAAGAATTATTGAACAAAATAAATTTAGGTAAACTTACTCCTTGAGCAAAAGGATCTCTCCTTTTATATATATATATATATATGGACACTAGCTAATTTATTTAATCATAAATAACTTGTCAAAAGTCGGTAAATTTCTTAAAATTAGAAACGTAATATGCATCATTATAGAACACGATGTATTCTGACTTTGACTATAATAAATAGAGAATTAGGAAACATGCGTTATCATTTACAAAATGAATCCGCTTAAGATGTCTTAGCCTTCTAGGACTCTTTCTTTCACTAATGTACCAAAGATAAATATCATAGTTATATTCTTTTACACCGTATCATAATTATATTAAGTTGTTAGTGTGTACACCAAAAAAAATATTTATTTAAAGGAACAATTGACACTGAAGGAAAAAACTGCATTTCAAAATTATATTACAATTTAAAATTATTTATACCAAAAACCCAAAAGTAAAACACCAATAAGCTTGTCTTCTATTCTTTTATTGAGCTAATATAATATGCATCATCAAAGAGTTTTACCAATTGATATCATTTAAGTTTTATAACTAGCTTTAAAAAAAATTGAGATTTTAAATTACAATTGTAACGATCTGTCATAGTCTTTATACTAAATGACACAATTACTAATTTAAGATTATATATTTATAAATACTATAATAGATATAATATTGCATGCATATAAGGATAAAACGACCAATTCAATATGTGTAATATACATATAGTAATCCTGCATGTGTAAGTAAATATATAATTAAGTTGTCAATCAAACAAATATAGTTATCTACACAAATCTACCACCAACAAGTAGTCATCAAAACTATCCAACTCCTACGTTACTATATGACTTCCACTGCAACACTCAAGTCCTATTCTCATATCAAGTATGATCATCTTAATCCAAATCACATAAAAACATATAAGCTAAGAAAAAGAAATATATATATATATATATATATATATATTTATATATATATATATATATATATATATATATATATATATATATACAATGACAATAATAAAGTTAAATTTAAGATCTTTTTTTACTTATTACACAAGCCTCTCATTAGGATGACCCAAGTGAGTTTGATGAAATAATTATATTTCATCTATTTGAAAAGTTAACTCTTATCGGTATAAATATAATGGTGGTGGATTTCGTTGTATAATCTTGAACCAAAAAAAAAAAAGTAGGATAGCTTGTGGCTTAGAAGAATTTTCTTATTTAGTTAATATTATTTTTATGATTAAAAATTATGATAAATGAAAACATAAAAAATAATAATGAAAATAAAGTATTTTGATTAAAAGTAATTATAAAAGTACAAAATCAAAAAGGAATGTAGATTGAAATTAAAAAGTATGAGATGGTTTAGGAAGAAATTTTTTAGTTAGTAAGAATAGTACGTAAAATGCATATTGAAAGGAATGATGAGATATAACATTAAGAAAGTTTAATTTCTTATAAAAGATTTTATAAATTGCCTTAGGCAAACAACTGCAATAGTGAGGAAATACTTCAACCCGTTACATCCTTGCATTATATCTTTCTTCTCAACAAGTGAAAATGAAATGACAACAGGATTGAATCACAACAATAATGAATAAAAAGGCTATGAATATCCTGCTTGACTTGCATGTGTTTGAAGTCACCCCAACCATAGTAGCATATGTAGAACTCAACTTCTCAAGGCTTGACCCTGAATGAGTAGAAAGGATCATTGTGTCTGAATGATCATTGAAGGGACAATGGGCATAAAAGCTATGGTATGGGAGGTAGCAAAGCAAAGTATAATCCCTTTTTGAGTTTTCACTGCCATGGCTAGTAAATTGATCAACCATCAAGAAATCTGGCAGTGTGACACTGACCTGAACTGGTATTAGATTTTCAAACAAACCAATGACTATAAGGATCAAACAACACCAAAGTGTTCTATTGTGAATCATGTTCACACACAAACCGAGGATATCATAGAAGAGCAGGAGCTAATACTGAAAGGAAATATTTGTAAATAAATACCTTTAGGTTTGATGTTGTCTTTATAACTGGAGGCCAAAAAAGATCTAATGGATCTGCGGCTGACCAATCTTGATATTTACCGGGAAAATCTACCCTAGATTATCAACAAAAGATAGAAAAACTGTAGTGAATACTAAAAACACTCGGTATTAGACGTGTTCATGCAGTGAGACCAAATAGCATGTTTTGCTCCATAAACTGCTATTGGATCTTCAAGAAACCTATAGAAAACAAGGCACTTATCAAACTACCAATGACTAAAAGATTATACCATAAACCAAATAGATGTTCATGCCAAACAACTTCAGTGACTTAATCATCACCAGTGCACTATCTTTTCTCTCCTGCGGCCAGAAGGAAGTTGTGTAATAACATCATAAAATAAAATTTCTTATTGCACATGCCATTCATTGTGAAAGTAAACACAACTTCTCCTATAGCTTAAACTGTACCAATGAAATATATTTTCCTAATTGGATTTAATGGTATTTCTAACAAACAAAAAAAAAAACAAAACAGAGCTTGTCCTGAGGAATGTTATGAATGAAAGTGATAGAGAGAAGATATTAAAAATATTAGTCCTTAACATTGTTCATGGGTATATTTGAAAGAGGAATGACATAATAACTCATATAAAACCAAGCACATAGAGTCTGACTATGCTAAGAGTCAATCTGAAACATCATATAACATGATTTAACAACAAACTTTAAAAATAACAGTCCATAGAACCATTACTAAAACTTAAATCACAAATTAGCTTTCTTGTACAGTAACTATAAAATTGTTTTTCAAGTTTTTTCATTTAGTAATAATAATATAATAATAATAATAATAATAATAATAATAACCCTTAAGCTCCAGTAATTACTGACAGGTGACAACCAAATTGCACCTGATGTTAACCTAGTTAACACAACCTTGCACAGCATAATAGGGGTGTATCCACAATTGGCTACTGTTGTCAAGACACAGTACGCCATTTGTTGTTTTAAAATTAAACTAAAAGCTCAATGGATCAGAGGATTGGAAACTGTATCAAACTCGGATGTTTACAGGTCCAGGTAAAGATGCTCATTATATAGGACATTGAATACCACAAGTAGTTGATATACAATAAATAGACAAACAAGATAAAATGTGAAAATGGGATTTTGCTCATTCCTTGAGGGTTAAGACACGGATAATGATGAATGAATTTCCCTAGCACTAGTAGTCTGTGGTGAAGCACTATAATTATATTTATGTATGAACTACTGCCCCCCCCCCCTAATAATAGATAGATAGGGCATGGGTGCACATCTACTAGCCCAAAAAAAAGTCTCTTTCACCTATTCATCACAAATATTAGATGGTACTACTTTAAGTGCCTATGAATAATACTGAATTTTGATGCCAAACACAACCCCGTATATATTGAGACTAAAATGTAAGTATACCTACCAACTAAAACAGAGTCATGACAAAAATAATGGCACATTGAGGCTGTTATTAAAAATTATGTAGAACACAAGAATAGACACGAAACAAGATTACAACTAGGGTCCTTAACATAGTTCATGGGTATATTTGAAAGAGGAATGACATAGTAACTTATATAAAACCCAAGCACATAGAGTCTGACTATGCTAACAAGTTAGCCCTGAAGGAAATGTTGGAATTCAAATATACCGGTTATATACTCAAACAAATTTCTGCAAGAATTCTTGTAATGTAGGATTTTCTTTATTAGCTGAGAAATGACTGATAAGCAATTTTGTGGTGGTAGCATTTGCAGAAAAACCTTTGCCTCTCATCAGTAAAAGGTATTTTGTTGACCTTGAAATATCATATCTCCACAACAATCCTTGGACAAACACATTATAAGTCCTCTCATCTGGGGGACAACCATTCTCTTCCATTTTCATCAGCAAGTCTTCAGCGTCATCCAATAGTCCCGCGTTACATAGACCTTTAATCATTGTCGTATAAGAAGCAACATCAATTTTCTTGCCTTCACTTTGCAAACAAGAAAACAATTCTCGTGCATCATTCAGTTTTCCAAACCTACACAATCCATTTAGCACAATATTGTAAATATCGATATGGAGATCAAAATTCATCTTCTCCATCTCCCTAAACAATGATATTGCCTCGAAAGGAAAATGACATTTGAATAGGCCATCCAAAATAATGGCACAAGTTTGGAGATTAGGAAGTTGGTCATGCTTGTGCATTATAGAAATCAATTCTTTCGCAGCTAATGGTTTCCCTGCTTTACAAAACCCCCCAATAAGAATGTTCCAAGTGATAACATCTGGACTTAGTCCACAATTAACCATTTCACCCAAGAGATGCATAGCCTTATTTATGTTTCTAATTTTACACCATCCATGGATCAATGAATTATAAGTCACAGCAGTTGGTATGCTGCCCTTCTGAATCATCAAATCAAATACTTTCATAGCATCCTCCATTTGATTTAGCAAACAATGAGCATTAATCAGTGAAGTATATGTGAAAACATCAGGTTCCACTCCAAAATAAACCATGAAGTCCATTATACTTTTAGCCCTTGTAATCATCCCCTCGTTGCAAATATGATTAACAAAAACACTCAAAATTTGCACATCTGGCATGATTCCCTTTCTCATCATATGACCCAGTAGAGTTGCAGCCTCTTTCCATCTACCAAAATTACAAAGGCCGTCAATTAAGGAATTGTAAGTGGCGAGAGTAAGATGAATACCTTTGCGAGTCATTTCTGAAAAGAAATCCAAAGCCTCGCATACCTTGCCATCCTTGCAAAGGCTGTCGATAACTGTATTCCAAGCTGCAAAATTCAAAGAATGTTCCATCTTCTTGAAATATGAGATAGCAGCAGAAGTGTCTCCCACCTTACACAATCCATTAATTATTGTACCATTCATGTAGAAGTTGGGCTGATATCCCATGTCTTCCAAATGCTCCACCAACCTCATTGCTTGAGCCACATTACCTTCTATGCAAAGCCCATTAACGAGGGTGCCAAACGTCACGAGATCGGGCTCCAAACCAATTTTGAATATAAGCCCTAAAATGGAGAAGCCATACACTGTGTGATTTAAACGACAAATACAATTGATGACGATATTGAGCGTGTAAACATCTGGTTTCACTCCAAGGGAACACATGTGTTTGGTAAGGGAAATGACAGTTGTGTAATGTTTCATCTTTGCAATGATGCCGAACAATAAGGTGAAGGCCTGTTCACGTGGGAGAGGCTTCATTGCAACCATTTGGTGGAACAAATCCAAAGCAGTGCCCAAATTTCTGATGTTTCTGATGGAATCCAGTAGTTTGGTTCTGTGTATAACACTGCCACTAACTACGGTGGAGAAAGTTGAAGAAGAATGCGATGGGCGAAGAAGGAAATCTCTGGGGTTATGAATTGAACCCAAGTGCCGAAGAGCTCTTCCTCGCAACATCCTTAAACCCATTGAAGAGAAGAAAACCTAGAAATACAAAAGTGAAAAGAAAGAAAGAATTGTGCAAAGGGAAAGTTTCAGATGAAGTAGAAATCTGAGTTTTTTTTTAATATACTTTATTATTACTAGTATAATTGAGGCACTAGTACCTCTATTAAAAATAAGTTTGTCGCCTATACACTTTCGCAAACTTTGCTTATAGAAACGGGAGAGGAAAAAGCCAAGGAGACAAAGTAACAGAAACAAATTAAATATATTATTGAAAAAAAAAAGTAATTATTGAATAATAAACAAAAAAATAAAATGATCTATGTCAAAATAAAAATTAAAAATAATTATTAAAAATAGTATCCCTTTATATATTATATAAATAAAATAAAAATAAAAATTAAATAATAAAAGTATATTGATCTAATTGATATTATGATTAATGTATTAATTTAAAGTTCTTAAATTTGATTAAAAAATATTTTTCTAATTTTTTAAAATAAAAGGGTATAATGGTTAAAAAAAGTGGAGACTAAGATGGTTACTGGAAAGGGTATCTCCTTTATATAATAGAATAGAAAATAAAAGAGTATGATGGTCAAAAAAAGTGAGGACCAAGGTGGTTACTGAAAAAGGTATCCTTTTATATATTAGTATATACTATTATTATTATTATTAGCAGGATCAAGACACTTCGTGTCTTTATAGCATTTTACCTTAAAATTTAAAATAATTTATCTATGAAATGAATTCATTTGTTGACATATATTAGTATCATAATTTTACACTATTAATATGATTAATTTGATTATTATTCATTGATGAAGTACATATTAATTACTGTACTATCCGTACCGCTATGCCGAGCTTGAGCTCGACATCACAGTGCGGAGTGACCTCGGACACGCGCTAGGCGACATCGGCTCCCTATCCAATTAGGTCATAAACTGATCTCGGGCCCAAGGCCCAACAAAACCCTAATACACACAAAGGTACGTGCATTACTTATACGAGACTCATACACCCACAAACACTAACTTTAGCATCGGAGTCTCTTTTGCAGGTACCACCCCCATCTTGGAGCATCAAGCGTACCAGCGAAGGAGGCTCACCAATCTTACTCGGAGGATCATCTCTACAGCAGATTTCCGGTAAGAACATTTGGCGCCCACCGTGGGGCCGATCAAGACAGCTCTTATCGGCCACTCTTATGGTTTCTACCAGAAGCCATAGCAGACGCGCAACAGACGACCTAGATCACGCAACTACCATGGACAACGAAGCAGCATTGAGAAGGCTGATCGAGCAGGTCGAGCAGATGCGGCAGCAACACACCGCCGATCTGCAAAACATGCGTGCCAAGCACGAAACTGACCTAGCCGCGATGCGAACCGCCAATGAAGCAGACCTAGCGGCGCTGCGCGCCGAGAATGAGCGTATCCGCGCTCAGCTACCACGGCGCACCTCTGATCAACCCCCTCAACCGAGTCACCTAAACGAGGAAGAGGGGCACTCGGTTTCTCAACCGCCAATAGCGCATAGGACACCGACTCCAAAGCCTGCCACGCATCGATCTCATGCACCGACACACAAATCGGCCCATGAGGTCAGCAATGCTCCTACTCATGTCGCGGGGGATCAACCAACCTTCCGCCGTCATCCTTTTGTGGATGGCATTATGGAGACGCCACTCCCTCTCGGATGGAAGCCTCTCCACCTCGACCGCTACGACAGCACGACAGACCCAGACGAGCACATCAACCTGTACACCACACAGGTAAACCTCTACACCAATAACGATGCTATTCTGTGTAGGGTTTTTCCGACCTCGCTCAAAGGGGCTGCGCTCAACTGGTACACCCAGCTACCTGTCGAGTCAATTGACAGCTTCGGCACCCTGGTCAGACGGTTCACGACGCAATATGCAACGAGCCGACCTCATCACATCACATCCGCCGCCTTGGCCATCCTCAGACAGGGCGACGACGAACCATTAAGGACATTCATGGAGCGCTTCGCTAGCATCTCCGTCAAAATTCGCAACTTAAACCCCGAGGTCACACTGCACTCCATGCTCATGGCGTTGAAGCCAGGACCGTGCGTCGATAGCCTTTGCCGACGACCTCCTCCCGACATGGACGAGCTCCGAGCTCGCGCTGCTGGGTACATCCAGATGGAGGAGCATGCCGAGTTCCGAAAGGCAATTTGCGATAAACCACAAGGAAAGCAAGACCAAGGCCAGGCCACGAACATTTAAAGTTGGCAACCTTGTTTGGCGATTACGGGGAGAAGCAAGAGCAGACCCCTCCAAAGGAAAATTTGGAACTTGGAATTCCTCCCACCTCAAATGTTATTGCTCTTAACTTGTAAATTCAGGGGATGTACTCTTTTTCCTCCTCAACCTTTTTTCCCACTAAAGAAAAGGGATTTTGGCCAAGAAAGGTTTTAACGAGGCACCCCTAAGAAATAAATCAACAAAGCAACTCCATTCCCATACATTTTCAGTATTGGCACATTAACCATGACGACTAACCAAGGTCGAGTTCGAACCTTGATATGCCAAGGTCGAATCCGAACCTTGATGCCAAGGTCGAGTTCGAACCTTGAGATCACATTTTCTTAACCAAGGTCGAGTTCGAACCTTGATATGCCAAGGTCGAGTCCGAACCTTGAGATCACATTTTCTTAACCAAGGTCGAGTTCGAACCTTGATATGTCAAGGTCGAGTCCGAACCTTGAGATCACATCTACTTAACAAGGTCGAATTTGAACCTTCAAACAACAAATTTGGGAACTCCTCAGAAGCCCCTTTGCTCTTACATCACTCGGTGCTTGGGGGGCTATTGTACTAGCCAGCCGAGTTGCCGACTTGTCCCTCACCAATCTGCTGACTCGGTCAAAGGTTTACCAGCCTAACCAAGCAATAAGCTCATTATTGTCGAGCTCCTCAGCCCGACCATGAAACATGGACATCGGAACACCACATCGGCCCAAAGAGGCCACGTCATCAAACAAATAAAAATACAATCTTGTCACCGCGCTGCCCACGCGTTATGGGAATGAGGTGATGGTTATGACACATGGCGTCATGACAAATAGGCGTACGCAAAAAGTCACGACCCCTTGTCAAGCTCGGACTTAACTCCTCGACCTACGGTCTTTGGAGCTCGGGGGGCTAGTGTACTATCCGTACCGCTATGCCGAGCTTGAGCTCGGCATCACAGCACGGAGTGACCTCGAATACGCGCTAGGCGACATCGGCTCGCTATCCAATTAGGTCATAAACTGATCTCGGGCCCAAGGCCCAACAAAACCCTAATACACACAAAGGTACGTGCATTACTTATACGAGACTCATACACCCACAAACACTAACTTTAGCATCGGAGTCTCTTTTGCAGGTACCACCCCCATCTTGGAGCATCAAGCGTACCAGCGAAGGAGGCTCACCAATCTTACTCGGAGGATCATCTCTACAACAGATTTCCGGTAAGAACAATTACATTGTAATATTGTAAAATTTTAAATATTTGTCAAGTTTTTTTACTCTATGTTTGTATTGTTTTCTTTTAAATAAATGCAATTTAGTTTTAGTTTTTGTTTATTTTATATATAACAATGGTTAAAATATAATATAATTTATGTTCTACATAATTATATCTGTAAGCATGGATTAAAGTAAAAAAAATTATATATTTACTTTACGTACAACATGATGTAATAATATTCATAAAATAAATAATATAATGTCATGTATCAATATGAGATATTTAACATTTCATGTAATTATTTATAGTTTATGAAAAATAATAACCTCAATTTCATGCACTAATTGAGTTCAATATAAATAGTATAATAAAGAAAGAAAAAAAGAAAGCCAAAGTACATACCCTAAGCCATCAAAGAAGCAAATCTAAACATAAAAACTTTATTTGTTGTGTAAGGTTCCAATAAAATCCTATATGAAAAAATTTAAATCATCAAAAACAATTGAAAGCAAAAATGTAATGCAGAAATTAAAAATCAACTATATCAATAAATAAAAAAATAATAATTCACAAATAAATCAAAGTATGATTATTCACAAAGAGAAAAAATATCAAAAAATAAAACAGGTAAGAAATATTATAACATAGGTATTCTTAGAATTGTTCTAACAATCTTCAAATTCTATGTATTTTATGGGTAGGTGATGGTCAAGGTTGGATAGTAGCTATGAGAATATGATTATTAATTGCGTAGCCACAATTTATAGTTGACATTCTTTTTGTTACCTTCCTTTGTATGAAAAACATATATATATACATATATATATATATGTTCCTACCGTAAGTCCGCTGTCATCGTTAGGGTCACCGCATCCGAGGTATTGTTCGCTTTGGCGCTCGTTGGGCCATCACGGTTTTGTCCTTGAAAAGGCGCCTCGGTGGGCTAAGGAGGAAGGGTGTTTATAAACTACCCTTAGCCTCGACTTCTAAGCGATGTGAGACTTTTAGGCATACCGGAACAAGCCCCCCAGTCGATGCTAAGGGGCAAGAGTGGCCTGAGCCCTCCTTCTAGCGCAAATGTTCTTACCGGAAATCTACTGTAGAGCTGATCCGCCAGGTAAGATCGGTGAGCCTCTTTTGCTGGTACGCTTGATGCTCCAAGATGGGGGTGGTACCTGCAAAAGAGACTCCGATGCTAAAGTTAGTGTTTGTGGGAGTATCAGTCTCGTATATGTAATGATGGAACTACTTGGTGAAGATTGTTGTTCATCCAAGCTTTCCATGCAAAGACCGAAATGCTCCATGAGGTTGAACTCCTTGAAGGTGGCGGAATCACCTTGGAGGATTCTCCAATGGTGGAGAAGCACCTAAGAGAGGTTCGGTTACCTCTTGAAGAAGTGAAGAAGCTTGAGAAACCAAGCTTCTAGGAGAAGAGCTAGGCGGTCAAGGCTCCAAAATGCTCCATGATTTATTTTGAAATTCTTTGATTTGGTTTAGTTAGGTTCATCATATGATGATGAGACCTAGCTAAATCAAATCTATGAAAAATTAGGAGCAAAATGAGTCCAATATGCAAAATTTTGCCTAGGCCCAGTTCTGGCCCAATTACTAGTCACACCCTCAAGCATTGCTAAATGCCACCCCTTTTTC